ATTCCGGCGTTGCACAACTCAACAACCAATTGCAACCTCTATATAGCTCTTACATAGTTCTCGAGCATTCTAGCAACGTTTGGCTCCATCATTATTCTCTCAGAACGTTATGGAAAATTCCACGGCCTGACCAAACGGATGTCAACAAGATAAACAAGCCAGCCAAGGGAGGCAACTCTGAGGCGCTAATAAAAAGGCGCGCCACTACAAATACTATTGCAATTGAACATATATGATGCGAGATGTGAGCCACAACCCACACTCAACACTTTCAACATTGTAACCCATAATGATTATCACTTAATCAATGTGATATTGCAAATTACAAAAAACAGACTCTCGTAACACTTGTAGATTTGTCAAAGACAACTGATTGATTGATTGTTGTTGTTTAACGCTGCACTCAGCTATATGACAGCGGTCTGTAAAATAGTCGAGTCTGAACAAGACAGTCCAGTGATCAATATCATGAGCATCGATCTACGCATTTTGGGATACGGTGCCATGTGTCAACAAGTCAGCGAGTCTGACCACCCGATCCCGTTAGTCGCCTCTTATGACAAGCATGGGTTGCTGAAGACCAGTTCTCACCCGGATCTTCACGGGTCTTAAAGAAAAATGTCTGTTGCGATGAAGGCGAGTATATTCTGTTTGAAACCTAAAGGTTGCACAAAAATCGTTCCCATAGACTTCCATAGTAACGCTATATTGTCTTGAAAAATAACCCAGTCGTTAACAGCCATCAAATGTAAACTAGTGCTCTAAAGAAAGTATACAGTGTGTTTGACCAAACTTGAAAAGAAAAGAAAAGTATTTATAACAAAATCAACACCCGTTCAAAATGAATACATTTCAATAGAGTATTCAATTCTACAACAAATGTGCACAATTTCATTTCAAACAAAGTCAAAAGTACCGTTTGACTAACACGGTAAGACACGTGGTATCATAGTCTGAACTTTTACACAGATCAATTGGGCGTGTTTTTCTGCAAAATGCCATCAAATGTTGAATCATGTTGACCACCATTATCTTCAAAAAACGCCAAAACACATCAACTCATTGATGACGTAAGACGACGAATGACGTTAAGCGTGATCCGTTGCCATTCCTGTTGGAGACATTGTTCCAGTTTGTTTTATGAGAGTGTGTTTTTTGTAATTTGTAATATCACCTCTTGCATCGTATACACTAAACGCCAAAAGAAACGTTACCCTCCTACCTTTATTAATTACTGAAAAAACACCAAAGATATTTTAGAAGGAATTAGTTTACAAGAAAGCTTAACAACACAGTTTTATGCAAATCACGAAAATAATTTCTCAAATGCATTCATATTTAGGTGAAATGCAACTTTTTAGAAGAGTTAAATTGTCCTATATTCGTCCATGGCCGAAATAAACCAATAACACTGATTTTGATGTCTGCTTTGGGCAATGATAAACCATTGAAAAGCACCATTTTTCAACTATTAAAACAAGAAACAACTGTTGTAGAGTGTGTAAAATTGTAAAATCATAATTCCTATGATTTCAGTCTTTTAAAACATTTTCTGCTGATTTGATTAGTGAAAACAAGTAAAACATTTCTTTGATATAGTGAAAAAATGTTTAGGAACGTCTAAAATTATCTTTGTTAACATTTTTGCTTGCAAAGTAACATCTTTCCATTTTCTGTTTACGTATAGCAATATCAGTCGCCACAACGCAGCAAATTTCGAGCAGTATTTGCATCCATTTCACATGTAGAATGATTCTATAGGGTATGAAGAGAGCCTAGCATACAAGATATGATACACAAGTACGAGAAATATGCCACGATTAACAGCTGAAGAGAGAGAAAGAGCCATTGGGATGTTGCAGGTGTGGTCGACATACAATGCTGTTGCCAACGCCCTCGGATGCCACCGTATCACGGTTATAAGAGTTATTTAGGGCTTCAGACAGACTGGGGTCACCGTAGACAGACCAAGAAGTGGACGTCCACGCATCACAATGCCAGCTGAAGATTGTACCCCCGTCATTAAGGAAGGAGGGTAAGTTTTCTTTTGGCGTTTAGTGTATGTTCAGTGGTAATAGTATTTGTAGCGGCACGCCTTTTTTATAGCGCTTCAGAGTTGCCTACCTTGGCAACTTGTTGACTTCATGCCGTGTGTTCCACATGATTCCATATCGTTCCGGAAGAATAATGATGGAGCCTAGCTTTGCAAGAATGCTCGAGAACTGTGTAGGAGCTATATAAAGGCTGGTTGTTGAGTTGTGCGACACCGACATTACTTTAAAGTAAGACTCACCGCGGGGGTTCTTGCCACTGTTCGGCCACATCAAGAGGCTGCGTTCATATCAAGGACACTAAAACAGCGATGTGATCAAAAATTATATTCTTAATTGAGTAAGCTCACAAATCAATAAAAGGCAGCACCGTGGACTCAGAAATTCAAAGGCAGTACAACACCAGAACAGTTATTACAGCAATAGAAACAATGATCGTAATGTTCACCTTTCAGAAACGGAAATCCATAACAGTGGCAAGATGTTATGCGGCATACTTTTTTACTGATTCCCGGTTAACATTTTTAGTGAGCATGTGTTTTATACTGTTTATGACACCAGGTGTTCATGGAAAGGTGATCGTATCCTGCCACACGGGTGTCACCTGTCATAAAAATAATGCAAAGCTTTGTTATTTTTTTACTTGGAACATTCGGGAACGTGTTAAAACAAGGAATTGCATTGGACATCATTTTTGCCACTAAAATGTAATTTAATCAAATTGTCCTCAACACGCCAAATATAAAATGTTTTGAAAGCATTAGTGATGCTCTGTTGTGATCCCATGATCTTCGTCCGCTTTTGAAACCATGGCTGCCTTTGCTATTTGGAATGCTGGTGACTCACCATGCTGACGCTGCCTGTTCCCTGGCTAGTAAGACTGCCAAAGTCTTTTCCATTGATGCTTCAGTTTTTTACAACAAGAAAACTATTAAATATAAAGGTGTTACGTTTGCACGAGGTTGGCTTGGCAGTAGCCGTTAGTTTGAACTCAGACAGACGCATGTTTAGACAGTAGACGTTGTGCAATGTCCTGCTTGTCCGTAAATGTCCTAAGCATCGCTATACCTTCAATATGTCAGTCTTGCTCAGGCTTGAAAGCTAGTGTGAAATGATACGGTTGTGTGTATGTGTGAACAGGCTCTAATGAAATATCACATATGTTTAGTAACCTTTAGGTTACCAAAAATGGTCAATACACTTCAAAATGTCAAAATAAAATTCATGTATCTTACTGGGTTAGCATCTCACTCCGGAGATTGTGCTGGTCGAACAAGTCGACTGAACGAATCAGAAGTTCGGGGACAGGTCTTATGTCATTGTACCTGACCCCATGGATCGGTGCTTGCATAGATCACTGGGTTATCAGGTCCAAACAAAAAAGGTTTCAGCCTGCTTGGATCTTGAATATTGCTGAATGTGACAATATTTAACCGAACGAAACTCCAAATGATCTGTTGAATAATATATAACCATGTGTTTATACTGAATAATTGGGACAAACCAATCCACATCCGTATTGTTGTGGAAAATCAATTTTGCCTCAGGTACATGCATCCACAAAATCCACTCATTGACGGTGATGTATGGCTACACATCCGTTGTCGTACTGCAGTGTCGATAATTTCGATGCCAGCAATGAGCTTATTTCATTACAGGCACAAAGGCTGGAACTGATGGATGAAATTGTAACTTTCAACCGTTATGAATGATCTGAATGACGTTGATAAAAATTGGTTGTGTTTTACATTGATTTTGTGGATTAATCGTAGACATGAATTCTGGCTATTCAGTGTGTAGGATGATATTGATGCCATCCCCTATCTGCATGGTCAATACGTGGGAGACAATGTGTATTGTATGCTGTCACTAATGGCTATGTGCAAACAAAAGTAAAAAATGAAAAGCCAATTACCAGAGCCACATGAAGGCAAATGTGGACACTATGGAAAATGCGTAACTTGAAGTAATGACACACAGAGACCTATCAGTATTCATAACAACAGGTTCGCGAAGCGTTGGGTTGGCGGATACAGGAAAGGTCGTGAACACACTTGGAAAATGCGGAGGCTACTATTAGTTAGTGTCTTCTGTATCTTACAAAGTTTTCGTGGTGAGTTCTTCTTGTAATGTGACGAATTCATTGATGTTCACAAAAACATGATTATGTTCAATCCTGTGATGGAGATATCTTTATTCAATGACCACAGAGCATATTGTTGTGACTACAATCGGTTTTTAAAAAGTAGGTATTTGGTACCTGATGCCATTACAGTGAAGTGTCAATGAAGAAATGCAGTGTTCGTTGTAGAACTATTTGAACCGAGGTGCGTCATATGTGTTGCCGCTATCTGGCAGACAGTATCATTTATTCAAGACTTCATTCATCATTTTGTTCTGTTGATTTATATTTTACAATGACTTGAGCAGGATTTCAGCTGTGTTCAGCTGATTCCAAGTTAGAAGATGTCCAAATGAACCTATCTTTGTTGAAAGAAGTGACAAAATGGAAGGGGTGGTAAGGCTCAGTGACCTGGCTGACTGCATTTCATCGATTCCCAATTGCGTTTATAATGCTAATGATTTCAATCAATGGATTGTCTGGTCAGTATTCAAATACTTACAGATCGCCGTCAAACGGTTGGAATATTGGTGAGAGTGGCGTTAAATAATCACAAATCACCTGAAAATTATATCCCTTACTCTCCATAACGTCTCAGTTTGACAAATAACAATCACTGATGATCAATTGTATCCTTGAAACCGCTTGCATCCTTCTTGCCTTAGTATGCTATTTGTATGCATAATATCAGTACTTTGTTCCAGTCGGGGGTGCTACCCTGAAGACATCATACTTAATGTCTCGATATATCCGCCTATCCTGAAACCCTTGCATCCTTCTTGGCTTTGTATGCTATTTGTATACGTGATATGGGTCCTTTGTTTCAGCTGGAGCTGCTAGCCCTGAAGACATCATACAGTTGAAGAAGAAGATATTTGATGGATATGACAGATATGTTCGTCCTGTTCACAGCCACGAAGAAGCAATACAAATGGACATGGTGTTTTCACTTGGCAGCATTGATTCTCTGGTAAATAATTTAACATGGTATTCTTATCCAGTACTACTTACATCGATTATGTTACAGATCCCAGATTTACTTACCATCAAGGTCTGACAATAATATGTTCTTTGTGAATACAGTTCACTATAAAGGTATTTCAGACATAACACCCTCGAAACATACCACGAAAATCCGGTACAATCATTCCACTATTTACCAATTGTACATTATTTCCGGATATACGGCATAGCACATGGTTTATGTGTGTTCATACATTCATTCTCGGAGGTATTGAGCAATATGATTATAGTCAGTTCTCTGGACACCAGGTTAATTACCTGGTTTTACTTTTTGTTTGAACCCTTATATACTAAGCAGCAAAAGAAACGTCAGTTTGGACTTTTCCTTTAATGTTTCGATTGTATATTTTTGACAACATCTCCAACTTTACCTGAACAAAGACATTCCTTCCCAAACTCAGAACGGAACCGAGGAAACGCAATCAGAAACGCAATCTGATCTCGGAGATGGTAAGGTGTTCTCCATGTTTTTCATGCAACTCATTCTGCACGTGCTGTTCACAAGGACCAGCCCTATAAAATGCACCGCTATGGGGTGGAATAGGCCAGAACCAGAGAGTGGGTCCTGTGGTGTTCCAGAACCTTCGACCAGGGAGAGGAGGCGGCATTACAGCGGTGCGCTACATCGACCAAGCTCTCAGACCACACGTCATACCACATTTAGCACGTCACCAGAACAGCATTTTCCAGCATGATAACGCAGGGGTCCATACTGCCAGAGCTACACGGGACTTCCTACAGCACAACGGTGTCAACACTATGCAGTGGCCAGCCCTTAGTCCTAATTTGAACCCAATTGAACATCTTTGGGATGAAATTCAGAGGAGACTGAATAATGTCATACCAAGGCCGAACACAGCCGATTTATTGCGCCAGGCCTTTCTGAGAGTGTGGTTCCAGGTGCAAATGGCCTTCAACAATCGATTGGTGCACTCCATGCATAGACGCTGTGCTGCAGTTATTGCCGCTCATGGTGGTCACACTAGATACAGAAGTCAAGAGTCTGAATGGACTGTAAACGTTCACGTAATGTCTTGATTATTCATTGATGTTGTACACAAAAAATGTTTTTGATCCGCTTATTATGTCCATTTCTGTAATGATTTGATTACAGTGCCTATCTAATTTTGAATTCGTACTGACGTTTTTTCTTGCTGCTGAGTATAGTACAGATAATTGTATCTCGAACAGTTTATTATATTTCTGTTAACCAACCATTTCCTCCAGTCATGATGTTGAGAGAGCACGTAGATGCTTTAAAATGCCACTAACACAATGGTGTTGTGGTCTCTTGTGCAATTCGGACTATAGCGTACGTGTGTTCATTAGTCACTATAAAAAGATGCTCGTATCCTGCCCCATTTCTGAAAAAAAAAACTAATATCTGCAGATACCAGATAACATAGATCATATGGAGACTACATTAATTCGCATGGCTTACTTTCCGCAAATATGCACGAAGAAGAGAAATTTATGTTTTGATTTTCAATTTCAGGATTTGAAAAGTCAAAAACTTAAATGGAATGGATGGCTTACTCTTGTAAGTATGAAAAACCTCATAACATCTTTGTGACCTTCAATAAGGCTGGAGTAAGTAAGGTACAAAGATGCTAAAAGTATGGAAACGTTTTTAAGTACAATTAACACTATCTTGTCTGTCGCGATTGTATCTGTCTACGTTCTGATATACAACACGTATTCTTTTCACACAGACATGGCATGATAAACTGCTGTCCTGGAACGCCAGCCAGTATGGAGATACTGACTTCATCATGGTGCCACAGACGAAGATTTGGCTTCCCGACTACGTCATTAATAACGAGTATGTACAACCAGAAACGTGCACTGCCAAATGGGATAGATTCTAAACTGATGAGTTACCATTTCGTTACGTAGTATGTATGGAATATGTATATAGGAAAACAGCTCAGGCACTACAATGACTTCTTCAAAACTCCGAAACGTGGTAACTTGGACTTGATAATATATGTCACAAATCCAAGCCAGTTTCAAGATTGAAACATACTAAACTATGTGCCCCAAAAGTGGCATGTGCAGACTCTATTACGTTCCAAACCATAATGGATCAGTCAATTTTGTTCTTAAAGATTCTCGATAATTGTAAAATACGTGTCTCCCAAAACATGTAAATGTGGTAAATTCCACAATACCGTTTACATGAGATAGTATAGTAGTTCATCCCTGACAACTAATTATTTTCAATACCAATACTTTCCACTTCTACAGAAACAATAACAACACTGTTTAAGAATCCCTTACACCTCCATAAAACACTCTACACTCAACACATGTGAGGTTTCATTTAGAATACAGAACTGATGGTAATAACCAGCTACAGAAGTTTATAATTTTTTGGGAGAACATGGAAATCAAAATGGCTAGCACCTTTGTTTCAACAGTCAGCACATGACCTTACACTTGTTCCATGCAAATGCACATTTCACTAAGTGTAATCAGCCAGGCTTCAGTGAGTCTCTCAGGAAGAAAGGCATGATTCCTCTTCAGGATTGCGCCCGCACAATTTATTGGGCAATTACATAAACGATGTAGACTTCGACACCCTCAAGACTGGCTAAGTGTTATTACTGTCAGTTGGGTGGTTGGTTCGTGAGCCAAAATGGCATAGGTTTCTATTGATAAAGTTCACCTGGAGTTATAAAGCTCAGGCGCGATTTACAAATCAGAGGAATGGAATTGGACATATATTGCACGATATTAGAGTGAGTGAATGAGTGAGTTTAGTTTTACGCCACACTCAGCAATATTCGGTAAATAATCTAGTCTGGACGAAACAATCCAGTGATAAACAGCAAACAGCATGAGCATTGATCCTCGCAACTGGGAATCGATGACATGTGTCAACCATGCCAGCGATCCTGACCACCCGATCCCGTTAGTCGCCTCTTAGTTACTGAAGCATAGGTTACTGAAGATCACTTCTAACCCGGACCTTCACAGGTGCACGATATTAGACCATCGATAGAGCTGAAACGTCTTGGCCAGATTAGCCAGTTTTGATTATATCCAGTTAGCCAGTTTTGATTTGCCATATCCATATGGCTTTGATATGAAGACAAAGCAGGGCGTTCTTTGATAACCCGTGAAGATCAGAGTTTGTCTAAGGCTAAACGATGGTAGTCATCAGAGGCGAACCCGCTCGTAGTAAGATGTGAATAACAGAATCGGGTGGTCAGGTTTGCTGACGTGGTTGATGCATCGTATCGTATACAAAGGCGTACATCGATGTTCATGATATCAATTGCTGCATGGCCTGGGTCCAGACTACATTACGCATAAAGTATGTCTAAAGCTGGAAAAGTACTGAGTAACAAACAAAAGTATTAAGGTGAAAGCCTAAACGAAATTTTCTTAATCAAAACACTCTAAATATTTTCTTCACCAGTGTTTCTGCTAAAACAGTCTTGGGAAACGCGGGCACTCTGGTTTTCATTAGAAGCAGTGGCAAAGTCACCTGGGAACCTGGAATGATTAGTGAAACAAGCTGCAAAATTGACATCAGGAAGTACCCCTTCGACACCCAGACCTGTTCCATCGATTTTCTTCCCTGGATGACCACAAGCAAGTTCATGAACACTACAGTGTCCTCAAACAAGATCGAAATGTCAGGTTTTGTGCCACATGGAGAGTTCACTATAGCAGGGTCATCAGTGGTGTATGCTCGGTTCCCTGCAGGTTTTACAGACGACGACTTAGTGGGCATTACTTTCTCCGTTGTCCTCAACAGACGTCCAGCGTTCTACTGGATGATCATGATATTTCCAATGATGACCTTTCCTCTGCTCTGCCCGATCAGCTTCCTTGTACCCGTAGAGAGTGGAGAGAAGATAACTCTGTCAATCACCGTGGTGTTGTCCTACTTGGTCTTCATTGGGTCAATGAACGACGCCATGCCAAAGCTGTCTGATACCGTTTCTTTGATGGGTACGTATAAATACAGCTACTACAATTTACAATTTAGTTTGAGTTCACTGTTGCTCAACGGTTTATAGGTCTACCTAAAAAACAACATTTTACTCAAGAAACAAACCCACAAAAGTTTGTGGAGGATGCTATAGGAAGCGTATATTTAGTAATTCATACCCTCAAAGACTTTCTCGTGTTTGTTTTGCCTTCCGAATATCACTGTAAACAAAATGTTAGACCATCTGGGTTCTGCCTTTACAATACTGGCAATAATCAGATTCTCCTGATCGTAGATTTGCATTAATTGACACTAATTTTTGTAACATTAACATATTCATTCTTTTCAGTGATATACGCCTCCTTGCAAACAACTATTAGCATCCTCACAGTAGTCGCTAATGGAATCATCATATGTATTCACAAACTTCCCTCGGACTTTCAAGTCAAATTTCCCAAATTCCCCAAGATGTCACAGAGGCTCGGGACAATTGGGGAACGGAATAAATACCTGGTCAAAGGAGAGTCTCTTCAAAGTGTTACTGGTAGTTCCTTGGGGCTGTGTCACGATGACCTAAAAAACAAATGGAATTCCAGCATTTGCAGACGGAAAGAATGCGTCATCGAAACCAGATGAGCCTGGAAGAGACAAATGGATCCTGTATGCACGTCGACTTGACCAGATTTGTTTCTCATGTTTCATGTGTCTTACTATAGTGGTGTCAGCTATATTCGGGTTTCTCATGTCCTAGTGAGTGGATACATGTTGTCTTTCACCGTGGCACGCTCTCGTTTCCAATAATGGAGCAGGGTCTTACAAGCCAGCATTTCATATCAGTGGCAAAGATGGGAGCATTCATTAATTTATCAACACAACCTGGCAACCTGATTAGTTTCCAACACCCTCACAACCAGAAGGACTCGTGAGAAGCCATTTTTTAAAGAGCATGCTTCCTGGTTGATAACATAGGCAATGACAATAGTGAATGGGTACAACAGCACACAATCAGCCAGGATGAAGTTCGAATTGTCACTTAACTGTCACTGTTTACTACTTGATGCACCCGTCTGGATTCAGGGGAGGGGTATATGTGCTCATCAATATTTGGTTTTTGTAAGAATCGACTAAACGGATCGAGAGGTCAATCACTGGATTTTCGTGTCAAGATGAAATTAATTGCAGTTGCTTTAATAAAGCTCAGTGCTAAGCGACAACAAAACGAATAAAATATTTAGGCGGTAAACGTGCTCAAGTGATCAGCCTTACTGACATGGTCGATACAGCTTGTCGTTGTGAAAACAAGCAAACAAATCATTGATTATTCTTTCACAGCCGGATGGAAATCACATCATCGTCCATTAAAATCTCAGCAGGACATCAATACCCAACAGAGTTATCATACCTGTCTTGTCACCAAAGGAAAATGGAAGCACGTATCATATATCCAGCTACATGGAATCTTTACTGGCTGAAGGTTTCTGCAAGAAAACAAGATCCTTGCATTGATCTTGAAAGTCAAACAAGACTTAGCGTCAATCTATCTGCAGGAAATAACTGAATAGTACCATCCCTCGAGAAATCAGCGACCAAGAAGTTGAAAGTTACTCCCTTTCTCTGCATGAAAAGTCCGACAGAAACCTTATTTAGTAATATACAGCCTTATGACCTATTCTGAAGTTAATATGTAACGTACTTAAAATGTCACGTAAGTAAAAATTAAAGTAATTATCTAGCAATAGATATATGCTTTAACAATGCTGCAACGGCATGTATAACAAGAGGATTTTTGGAAAAGCAAACCCACCCACCCTCTATCTTGTAATTAAGTTAAACAAAGGACGGCATAAGCAGCTGTTCCCACCCGACTGGACACTATTGGAAGCTCAGAGAGTCTCGCCCAAGACTGTTCTACAGTTATATACCTTGAGACACGAATCTGTTATGAATCTGAATATATCTGGGTTGAAGATATTGCCTGATAATTCACACTGTATTCACATATGATACATGATCGGGAATACCCTATTTTCCAAATAAAATTGTGATCTTGGTGTCGAGTTTAATCTATTGTTCGTCAGTTTCTCTTGAAAGAGGATTAATACGTGTAACGGTCAGCACAAATCCGCAACATAACGATGGATAAATTGGGAAATGATCAGATAAATCCAAACGCGGTGGTCTAGTGATGACCTTTGTAGACGACATCCAGATCATTCGTGAATAGCAAACAATATTTAATGAGTGTATCACTACATGATAAGGTGTTAGGGAAACGTATCTCAATCGTAACGGATGGCACTAATGACGTTGATAACAGGCCTGCATGTGCCACTACAAATGAATGTGTTAGGGAAACGTATTTCAACCGTCACTAATGACGTTGATAACAGGCCTCTATGTGTTTGATTGTCCTGTAATTGGATTTTGTGGACTCTCTTGAAACACTAATACTGGATGTTTATTGCACACTGTCGGCGGCAGGAAAGTACCCTACCCATGATCAATATGTTGAAAGTAAGGCATATTGAATGCTGTCAAAAGTGACAAGGTTCAGACAAAATCGAAAAATCAATTGCCTATTGTAAGAATATACTGAAGGCAAACATTGACCCATACACAGTAATGTATCTGATGCATTGATCATACAGGCTCGTCCTTAACCACAATAACAGGTTGGAGAAGGAGTCACTGGGAAGCGGATGCTACAAAGGTTCTGTGGACACGTTGGAAATGTTGCGCCAACTTCTAGCTTGTTTATTCTTTGGCTTGCATAGTGTTTTCGGTAAGCATGCCTTATAATGTGACGAATTCAATGATGTGTTGAAAAATATAAGTATTAGCCAACCATGTTTACAGGGATATGTCTACATATATGTTTTTATATACAAAACTTCATCATAACTTATAGCATTCACTGTGTCTATATATGAATTGTTGCCAAATGGTGATGTTCCTAGCGTTTTTAACGGAGGTGTGTCATAGTTAACCAAAACCTGGTTGACAGATTCTAACACAAATTCGAACGTCATTGCCTTTTGCTTTGTATATTTAAATATTCGGTAAAAGAACGCAGGGATACATTTGAATCTACTACTGCTTGTCGGAAGAGGTGACTAAATGGATCAAGTAGTCACATTGGCCCATTGTGAACAATCTGTCAGCAACCATGTCTTTTATGTCAATTTCTGTATTCTGTTGCCATGTAGCTGGAATATTGCAGAGTGTGGCGTTAAACAATGTCAGTCAGGTGTTAATGGCATCCCTCATAACACAATGTCTCGATTTGACAAATAACAACCATGATGACCATTGAAATATATCCTCTATCCTAGAAACCCTTGCATCCTTCTTGGCTTCGTATGTTATTTGTATGCATAATATAGTCCTTTCTTCCAGTCGGAGGTGCTAGCCCTGAGGACATCATGCAGATGAAGAAGAAGATCTTTGATGGATACGACAGATACATACGTCCCGTTCACAGCCACGAAGAAGCAATACAAATGGACATGATGTTTTCTCTTGTCAGCATTGATTCCCTGGTAAATATGTTTACATGGCATCTTTATCAAGAAGTATTTTCAAGTTTTTCATTCACTAGGTTTATTACTATTAAGCGAACGCCAACGTATGTCAACAATATGTTTTTGATGTCCAAGATATTTTTATGGATTAAACTTCTTTTTTAATTTCTCTCACGACGTTTCGAGACCATTCCAGGTCCCTTCATCAGGTGAACTGGCAGTTAGGACTATGACGTCGTCACTATGACGTCATAACTGAGTTATGACGTCACAATGCAAGTGACATCACAGTACACTAGGGAGAGTACTGTATAAGTGAGTTTGAAGAGTTAATTACATAATGATGAAAATTCATGCTAAATAATAGAGTTGAAAGTTGAATTGTCAATACACAACAACTGCTAATTACACAAAGGTTACCAAAAAGAATAGTAGACTCGTTTTTTCTTTTATCTAAAGTTCATCAAAAGTTAATCAAGAGGTCCCACGCACTTGGCAGGTATACACCTTGATCACGATTAATTGCTGGTTTATGTCTCCTTATCTCGACAGCTTCCTGTAGTTTTCTCCGACGCCAGTCGTTGTTATTTCTCGAAATCACCCTAATATCATTCCACATGATAACATGACTTAACATAACTCAGTTATGACGTCATAGTGACGACGTCATAGTCCTAACTGCCAGTTCACCTGATGAAGGGACCTGGAATGATCTCGAAACGTCGAGAGAGAAATTAAAAAAGAAGTTTAATCCATAAAAATATCTTGGACATCAATGTACAACTTCTAAATGCCACTGAAAGACATCAATATGTTTTTGTTTTTAAGAAAATAAACTGCACTATAGACGTCACACCTGCAAACCATACAACTAAATGAACATTACTACCAATCGTACAATATTTCAGCCTCTTCTTTCTGGATACATGTTCGCCACTTGCCCAATTATACGACGGGAGTGTATTTGACAGGATAGAAGTGTTTAATATTCTGGACATCAACACTTCACCTGTTATCCTTATTTCACATTTGACATATACATATTAAGAAAGGATGCTGCATTTAAGGAAAATTGTATCCCGAACAGTGTATGATGTTTTATTCACCAACTATTTCCTCCAGTCACGAGTTTGACAGAAGAAGTAAATGCTTTAAATGGAAGACACAACCCTTTCCATTAAGATTGTGCTGTACGATTCAAATACGTGTTTATTAATCACAATCAAACAGTGCCAGGTTCTTCCGACAAGATGAGCGTATCCTGCCACATGAAGGAAACTTAACCTGTTTCAGACAAGAATTATCTTATAATCCTGAAGCATGCACCAATAAGTGAAATTAATGTTTTGATTATCAATTTCAGGATCTGAAAAGTCAAAAACTGAAATGGAATGGATGGCTTAGCTTTGTAAGTATGCATCTTTTTCATAAACAAGGTCTCTTTTTTTCTTTTTTTAAATTGCTGTTTAACAAATGGCGTACAACAACATGATCTATGTGCCACACTAATGCAACTCCCACAATATAAGAAACACAATTCAGTGGCATTTAGTGAAAATCAGGCAAACTGAACAGGCCATGTGTAATCACGTTCTGACGTTGCTAAACGTATGAAAAACCTTTTTAAAGACGCAAATGTGCACTGTTTCAAACTATTTTTAATGTTTGATACAAATACAGAATATGTACTTAAAAACAGACATGGCATGATAAGCTGCTGTCGTGGAATGCCAGCCAGTATGGGGATCTTCACTTCATTACAGTTCCACAGAAGAAGATTTGGCTTCCCGACTTCGTCATTGACAATGAGTACGTACAACTGGGTTAAGTTCTTAATTTAGGGAGGCTCATTCATTTAGATAAGTGATTTCCTGTAATTATGCATTTCATGCTTTTGTGGAAATAATTACTTCTGTACTTTGTTTGAAATAAATTATTGATTGTATTGTATTCTATTTCATGGAGTGGCACTCACATAAGCCGTTGGCTTGTGCCAATCCATATTCATGTCATGTTTATATGTCATGAATAAAATATGTTATAACATAAGTGATTCGGGCACAATAGCTACTTCTTTGCCGCAATAATACTTGGTATCATGGACTTGATCAACCTGATTTATCGATTCATTGATAAAATCAAAATATATTTGATAAGTAAAACATATTACACAAAATCTCCCAAACTGAATGCAATAACATGATTAATATATGTTTCAATAGCAATCAGGATAATTATCTTTTAATATTGTTAGACCTTTTAAATTTAATGTATCAAACACGTAAGTTATTTTATATGGTCACTGAGATGAATTTCGATTAATCAACCCATGGGATTGACTTGGACACTTATTTTGATTATATATTAGCCGAGAGCGTTGAAGAGCATTCCCTAGTGAAACTCTGGTATTTCTACATATTAATGATATCAAAATGTTTACAAATCATTGAATATGACATTAAAATACTCTCCTTGGTGTACAATAATTAAAGACAGAAACTAACATGAAGTTGCTTCGTTTCGCGTTTTTGAATGATAACTTATCCATAATTATGCCTTCGAATACATAAAGAAGAAGACTGCCTTTCTCAGGTAACAGCCAGTTTCTCCGGGAGGGGAATATTTGCAGACTACTGTCATATAGCTGGACTATTCCAGTGCAGCTTTGAAAAGCAATCCAACAAAAGATAAAAGTCATAATGAAATGTGTCTTTGTCAAACCTCTTTAAATATTTTCTTTACCAGTGTTTCTGCTAAAACAGTCTTGGGAAACGCGGACACTCTGGTTTTCATTAGAAGCAGTGGCAAAGTCACCTGGGAACCAGGAATGGTTAGTGAAACAAGCTGCAAAATTGACATCAGGAAGTACCCCTTCGACACCCAGACCTGTACGTTTAACTTCCTTCCCTGGATGACCACTGGTAGATTCTTGAATACAACAGTTTCTTCCGGCAGGATTGAAATGTCAGGTTTTGTGCCACATGGAGAGTTCACTATAGCAGGGTCATCAGTCGTGTATACCCGGGTCCCGGCGACTTTTATAGACGATGATTTGGTGGGGATAAACTTCTCCGTTGTCCTCAACAGACGGACATCGTTCTACTGGATGATAATGATATTTCCAATGGCAACCTTTCCTCTGCTCAGTCCAGTCAGCTTTCTTGTACCTGTAGAGAGTGGGGAGAAGATAACTCTGTCAATCACCGTGGTGTTGTCCTACTTGGTCTTCATTGGGTCAATGAACGACGCCATGCCAAAGTTGTCCGATACCGTCTCTTTGATGGGTAGGTCTATCATCTATACATAAATTGAGTTGGATCATTTGTATTTGTAAAATATTTTTCAAGTGATGGTTTAAAATTCAAGATTAATGGGTTTGTTTTTCTATTTCCCTATAATTAGTTTCATTTACTGCAGCTTTTAACATTTAACAGTTTATCCTAGACGTTGGGAAAAATTGCTTCACTTCAGAAAAATTCTTGCAACATAAAAATGTACGAGTACACAATGCTATTAAGAAAGTGATCTAATGTAGCATATGGTATATTTGGGATTACACTTTCTTAGTAAAGTACAGATTCTAGTACTTTTGTTGGGTTGAATCCCATCCGGGATTCAAACCCACACCCTCGTAGTTAGGCACCTCATCGCCAGCACACAAAGTCAGCCGCCTAACCCGCTCAGCCACCGCGACTTCCACAAAAATGAAAGTCGGGCAACTGGTAGTCTACACTGCGGACTTTGTGTACCCTTCAACATATGTTACATTTGATCACTTTCTAAATGGCATTGTGTAATCATAGCTTTCGGCCGTGAGAGCCATGCCAATTTACACTTATCGGTTGCTTATTTTGCAACATAAAAATGTACGATTACACAATGCCATTTAGAAAAGGATCAAATGTAGCATATGCTATATTTGGGATTACACTTTCTTAGTAAAGTACAGATTCTAGTAATCCCAAGTATAACATGTGTTACATAAAAATGTACATTTACAACATCATGTCTTGTTATGAACTGAAACTTGGATAACAAGGAATTGTCCCGCACAGTCTATTTCAACTGCAGATTATCACTGTGGAATGAAATGTTAAACCAACTGGATGTAACGTTAACAATGATGACATGACACACTTTAACAAATAATATATTCTTTTCAGTGATATACGCATCCTTGCAAACAACTATTAGCATCCTCGCAGTTGTCGCTAATGGAATCATCATATGTATTCACAAACTTCCCTCGGACTTTCAAATCAAATTTCCCAAATTCCCCAAGATGTCACAGAGGCTCGGAACCATAGGGGAACGGAATAAATACCTGGACAAAGGAGAGTCTCTTCAAAGTGTTACTGGTAGTTCCTTGGGGTTATGTCAAGATGACCTAAAAACAAATGGAATGCCAGCGTTTGAAGACAAAAAGAATGTGTCATCGAAACCGGATGAGCCAAGAAGTGACAAATGGATCCTATATGCACGTCGACTTGATCAGATTAGCTTTTCATGCTTTATGTGTCTTAGTATAGTGGTGTCAGCTGTATTCGGGTTTCTCATGTCCTAGTGAATGGATAAATGCTGGATTTCTCAGTTCTGTGCAAACATTCACCATGGTAGTGAAACAAATAACGAGTCTGGGCCTTGCAAACAAATGGTATATGCAACCAATCATTTAATCACTATTTCGGGACAATCTGATCACTTAACAGAACTCTGAGAATATGCTGTGCCGGAGATGGGAACATTCCTCAACGGGTGAGACCAGTCAGAAGCCAGTGTTAGAAAATCTGTTTCTGGCCTGAGCTGCGGCCAAGGGTGCAGGGTTTTGATGACAGCCAGGCTGATTTGTAATAATGAAGAGAGCACAAACCATAAACTATCATTACCAACTGACAAAGGGGTGGCGGAGTAGCCTAGAGGTTTAAGTGTTCGCTCGTCACGCCGAAGAACCGGATTTAATTCCCCACATGGGAACAATATGTGAAGTCCATTTCTTGTGTCCCCGTCGTGATCGTGATTATATTAACGACTGCGGCAAACAAAGCAAATTGTGATAAAATGTTACTGATACATTTGGCCAAATCTTTCTGAAAACATTTTGCTGATAGTAAGTTCTGACAGCATAATGGAATGGGACATTTCATTTAGTCAATAGATTTCAAAGTTTCATTCCATCTTGTGGCTTCACAAAATATGTCCCGTCAAAGCGTTGATGCCTAATATCCCAGTTCTACAGCATATGCAGAATACTGCTCAACATTAACTACAAAGATGTGTAGCCTTACCATCTTTGAAGGAATCGCGTCTTTTATACATAATCATGTAAACTATTTTGCAACGATTTATTATGGATAGACAACTTCTTCAATGCAATTGATTGAACAGGAACGATTTTTTTACGGATAGACAACCTATTTCTTGCATTTATTTTCCATACAAAATCGTTCCTGTTTTTTATACCAGCTTTTCTGATCCAAGCAGCTTGCCTAAGGATACTACCTTCCTATTAGAATCTAAAGCAATGCCTTCCACACTCATAATTAATCGTTCTTGGAGTCAAGAGAATGAGTATGACAATATCATATGAATATGTTAATAAGTCACCGTCAAATGAAAAGAATATCCTGTCCTTCGTCGAGATTATATATAATCAAGAGGTGACTATTGAAATCATCGACATAAACAATTTGCTTTCTGAATAATTAAATAGAACTGTTCGTTACTTTACTCTTGGAGTTGATTATGAAAAATGTAAAAATCGAAACGGATTAAATGATAGGGTATTATGTAAAAAACGAACTTTTATATTAATAAGGAAGAAAACAAATGTCCTTAAATCCAGAAAAAGAAAACTGGGGTGTATACCGAGTTTGCTTTTTTCACTTAATTGAAAGTAGAAAGATCTCTGGTCAAACTGATTGTGTCTACTCAACATCACTTACTTTGTAAAACTTAGTTTGTGACTGGGAAAGTTTGTGTAAAAATTCATTGGTTCAATGATGACATGGTAAAGGAATAAATTCACAACCTGATGACCTGTACCATGTTTGAAATGTAAATCAGTGTCGCAGTAGCCTCCCAAAACCCCTACAGCCCATAATCCCTACAGCTTATATTTATAACAACAAAGTCCATGGTCCAGTGGACTGCTAATATCCTGCTTGTTACCTATTTCATACAATGGATCAGGCAAACCACTTAGAAATTAAGAGAATGATTTTAATGAGCAATAACCAAACTAAGGGTTTTAATAGATGATTACACATTTTATTAACATTAAGACCACGTGGAAGTATTCTTCCAGTGTTGACAAAGTGCAATTGCTATTTTATTTAACATCGCTAACTTAACATTGTTTTTAACGTTTACTCCAAAGTTTGTAGGAGTGCGGGAATCATAGGATTGCTCTGTTTATGACCATTTGTTAGTCAGCTGAATACACATATTCTTGTGATTGACATAGTTAAGATCTGATATTCTGGACTTTCCACCAAGGTTCGATTCCCCACATAGGCACAATGTGTGAAGCCCATTTATGGTGTCCACCTCCGTGATATTGCTGGAATATTGCTAAAAGCGGGGTAAACCTAAAGTTCACTCACTCACTTCACTTTGGAAAGGAGGGAAGTTGCTTTCCATGACCTAGTATTGTATTGGTATTGTTTTATTACGTGCTCAAACCTAAAGAAGCAGGCTGTAACAACACTTCATGACGTGGGAGGTAATTTTGGAAGTGGTTAGTCTTTCGTCAAAGTCAAGACAAACTCATGAATATTGTACATGACGATAATGAATATAGACACTTAATCAAAACAAGGCTTGGTATAGCAATAGAGTGGACAAATGATGATATTGATATATACATGGGCATTGGAACTAATGTCGTAGTTTTGAGATTAATTTTGTTTCTAAAATATAAATTACAAATTCATAAAACTGGAGTTTAATGAATTTATCAACAGTTACATGTTCAAGTCTCTAATGTGATACTTTCGTAAAACTTCGGTCATGAGAAAGAAATCTTGCATGTTTCCATCGGATGTTTCTAGCATATTTCTTGTTTAGTAATGTTCTAATTTTATGTGTAACCATTTGGCTAAATTAAGATAGTTGATAAATTTAATTACATTTCGAATGTCTTTGTTTATTATATGACTGTACATGTTCAGCATATTCATAGACATTCACAGAGACTGGCACTCGTACGAAGCAAAGTGCTAGTTTCTCTGGCAATGTTTGATTGTCGACCTTTGAAATAAAACGACTGGTTTCCAAGAATTATTCATTGTATGCTTCAGTTCGTTATCCTTTGATACCTAGATGGAATTGATTCTATGGCCGATAATGGATGAGTATGGTATTGTTTGCTGGTCTCCAATACTTGCCAACATCATTGGATGAAGCTTAGCAAGATCATTGGCAAATATTAAAAGAACTATATTTAGTCAAGACAAATACGTGATGGAAGCTTTTGACTCATACCCTCCTTTCATCGAAGACCATTTGTTTAAATACACATACCAAAGGTCTCGATTAGTATGAAATGCACTCTTTTGACAACAAAGGAATCAATTAACAAATTTATACCCTCCATTTAAAGAAGCCTTTGGACAGTCTGATCAATAATAATAATGATGTTCTTATATTATACGAACCTATACTCATACTTACATTGTATATTTGTTTCGGTTTGTTGCTTTATTATTCATTTGTAAAACATAGTAATATATCATATGATATATGAACAAACATGTTATATAAAATACATATTTTCCACAGAATCAAATTGATAAATTGAATCAAGCTATTTTTCTGTCACTTCAACGACATGAAGAAGAAAGGTATGCTGGGGTTGGAAGGATCAATTATTCATTAATAAAAGTATCCTTTAAGAGCCAATCATTTTACCATGGTAACCTGTCAATGTCCTGATAATTGACGACAAAAGGATGTTGCCGTTGAGATTGACATCCAATGATCGAGGGAAAAAGTACCAGCGCCTTGAGCATGTACTAGTTGCGTGTATCTGTGTGCTATATAAATATCCAAAATATTTCACATTTTCAATTGGACTTCAGCTGTTAGCTTCTTTAAAAGGTTGAAATGAGTGGATGTCAAATTCGTATATTGACCACGAAAGTTGCAAGGTATCAAGTTTGATTTGAATTGGGATTTACTTTCACTGAGTTAAAATCCAGTGTAATTTTCTACTTTGCATCATTCTAGATCATAGACCATAAGGATATCTTTCGACGGAAAATGGGGAAAATACAGCCCGTTCCTTTCGTCTAACCCTTTCCCAAAACAGGTCAGTGTAGTTCATAGGCTTCGTCAAGGAAAGCTTCCTCTAAATGGTTGATGTCATACGTTTGATTTACCTGTTTTCTAATAAAATTTGGCACCTGGTTGATTAGACCATTCCCGATACATTGAGTCACATGGCTTTACTAGCTTCCAAATATTAGAGATCCAGGTCCCGTATTTTCGCTGTGCACGTAGAAGGAAATTAAATTCTGTCATGTATTAGGTCTGACAATATGCTTAATAAGTATTACGGAAAGCGCTCGTATTTCTGTAGATCCTGTTTGGTTGTTTTTCATTGGCAACATCTTTCTACCTCATTTGTCGTACAAATGTATATTTCTGCAACACACTGGCCACTAATTTAATTGCGGCTTCATCATTAGTATGTGGGCGTGTGAAGTGAAGTGGATGTTTTATCTGTTTTATAGAGAAATTCCATCTGTTTATTGAAAGCACACAAATACACTGACTTTAGGTTTGTATGTATTGAACTTCTGTGTGGCAGGTGGAGCCGTTACCCCAGAGGATGTCAAGCAAATAAAGAGAGAAATGTTCAATGGAAACAATGTTTACATTCGTTCTGTTCACAACCACACAGAGTCAATAAACGTGGATATGAGGTCTGTCCAATATCGCCTACCTGATTCGTATTTCTATGACATTCAATTAGTACAGTCGAGCACCGTTGTCTCGATATTCATGGGGCCAAGAAAAAATATCGAATTATCCGAACTTCGAGACATCCGACCAGGGCATATCATCACATATCACTATGTGCTATAGGCTCCAATATTTGAATCAACTGCGGGACTGGTGATTGTGACCACCATTCGTTTGACCCCCCCGGCTTCCAAAGATAAATGGACATACCTTATAATTGTTTCAGTGGAAACAGGTCATGGCAGCGAGTTGGGGTGAACTCTCCATTGAAAAGAAAAATAATTGTAGATATGGCTATACAAGTGTGAGTGAGTGAGTTTTATGCCGCACTCCGCAATATACCAGCTATATGGCGGTGATCTGTAAATAACTGAGTCTGGACCAGACTATCCAGTGATCAACACCATGAGCATCGATCTACGCAATTGGCATAAGAAGACATGTGCCAACCAAGTCAGCAAGCCTGACCATCCGTTAGTCGCGTCTTACGACAAGCATGGGTTACTAAAGCTCGATTCTAAACCGGTTTTTCACGGGTGGCTATACACGCAGGTTACACAAATATTTGCAAAACATATGAGGCACATGCTCTGTTTTCCTTTTCCTGATATACATGAGGTTTGGCTGGGAATCCAGAGTGAAATGGGATCGTTATGCACTGCTGGTCAAAATGCAATAAGAAGTCACAGAGGTACACAGGTACCCCATTAAGCTTTCATAACACAGCTCTAAATATTGTATCTAGTACGTAACTTACATGCACTGAATCTCAAACGAAAGTCCTTAGTACAATCACAACGCTGATTTAGAATGACGTGCACTGTCAAATAATATTTGCTAAATCCCCAGGAGACTTAATGCTACTGTAAAGAAAGAGTTCAACATCTGTCTTCAGAGGGTCAGGACAAATCGTGAAAAATGAAAGCAAAATGTCTTTGGAAATTTATAGGGAAGCAGTAAATGTAAAATGTTGACCTTCCTCATTGATAAACTCCATGTTAGACATCCTCTTGAGGACCCTTTGTTTTCTCCTCTGTTTCTTAATGTAGATGAATCAGGATTTCTGCAAAGATGTTAAACCTACGCTTATAAAAAACGAAAGCAAATGTCATTTCATTTTGGGTTGATTGTTGTTTAACTCAGAACTCAGCATTTTCAGTTTGCAGGGGACCAATATGCAAAATGTTGAATTTCTTCCTTTATGAAATCCATGTAAAATGATAGATTAAAGCAAGAAGACATCTCCAAAGTGACCATTTGTGTTCT